GAGAAATGTCTTTCTGCTTTTTAAAGGAGTCAATGGAGTCGACACAGCGTAAAGACAACAGAAGAGAGTTCCACAGCCTTGGTGCCTGAAAAGTCCGATCCCCACCAACTGTAACTTCTGTCCTAAAAACCTAAGTGCTGGGGAAGCAGCATGAGGTTTCAACTGGTCAAAGATATAGTGGGGACTTTCGCCATGTAGACATCTAAAAGTTTAAACTCACATTTTAAAATTAAACTTGGCAACCAATGAAGAGAAGCCAAAACTACTTTTACGCCCTCTTTTCCACTTCTTCCATGTACAAATTGGCCACGATGGGTGAAACTGGGGAGCCCATGGCACACCCATGTTTCTGCCTGTAGTACTGACCCTTGTATGTGAAGTAGGTGGAATTAAGACACAATTCAAACACACTTCAGTTACACACTCCTGTCAGAGCACTTAGATCTGCTACCCAATTTCTTCTGGAGCAACCTCGTTCTCGGCTGACGCGACCATGCGTTTGTGTAGCTGCTCCAGTCTTATGGAACAATCCTTCTGTTGCTATCCGGGCATCTGACTCTATGCCATTGTGTAAATCACGGTTAAAGACTTATTTATTTGATCTTGCTTTTCCACCTAGATAATATCTGCTGTGTGCTGATACATTTTTATCCTTTATGCTTTGTTAACTACTTTTATGTATTATGATTGTCATGGTTTTATAATTGATAAATGCCAGGTCCTTTCTCTTTCCCTTTTCCCTCCCACCGCCATCTCCTTATTTTGTCAAGCACCTTGGTATACCCTTGGTTTGTTAGTGTGCTTTATAAATAAAGTTCATTATTACTATTATTATTACTTGGTCGATGCTGAGAGTGGTCCTGTTGCTGAGGTTGGGGTCATCCTGTAATCTCTTACGGACTATCTCCAACACTTCAATGGATGCAAGTGAAGAGAGATGTAACATCGTACGAGACCATGGTTTCATCTGCCTCCATAATGACATCTCTCACTTTCTCAACAAAATCCAGGGTGTTCTGGATGTGGTGTTCAGAGCTGCCCACCAGCAGGTTGAAGATTGAAGCCAAAAACTTTGACTTACAATGCTGTGATTGCAGCCATTCCCCAACTCTCTGTGATTGGTACTCATGGCCATTGATCAATGGGCTTTGATCAGTGGTTGTTAATCAATGGTCGTGACAATTTGCATATTGATGATCAAGGAAATGACCTCACAGCCCACAGTTGTGCTAGTTTCAGTCGTTGTGCAAATGTACTGTTGATAAGATTGGGGAAACCCGCTGAGACTGAAGAAGTCACCTGGATGAGTGAAAAAGTTTCTCCCACTGAAAACGTCCAGATGAACTGAATCAGCTTTTGGGATTTACTTACTTGGATGAGTGAGCATGCATCAAGACAGACAATGATGGAAATTATATTAAAGTGTGTAAGTAAAATACTTTTGCTAAATGTACCAGACTGTCTTAATTTTGTGAATGAAAAAAAATTGATAATAAAAAACATCAAGTAGTTACAAAGGCTTCTTTTTACACTTAAAACAAACAAACTGAACTGTCAGCCAATCGCCTTACTTGAGGCTGGCTGTCTTCAGAATTGGCTTCCCTTTACTGTGTGATTCTGTGCTGGCTCGCATGTGTTGTGCATACAACAATAAACAAATATTTACTGGGAACCTATGCTATATGCAGGCTGCAATAAACTTTGCCAAAGGCCACATTTGTTATGGAAGCCTTGAGAATGAAACATGCGACCTTAGACAGATATCAAAGGAGTAGCTCCTCAGGCATCACCCATTAATTCTATCCACAGGCCACCAAATTTAAGTCAAATTGAATTTTTCAATTTTCAATGGGATCATTTCCTTCGTAAACTTACATATACAAACACGTTTACAGACTGGTACAAATAGTCCAACAGCTAATTTCCCCTTAGTGACAATTGTGCATGAGGAAACATTTTTAAAGAACTCACCTGTATATATCATATTAGTATTACACATACTGGATCATTTATTTCATTCTCCATAAATTTAAAACATGCAGCTTCTTATTTCAGCTTGTTGGAATCGTGGACTGAAGCCTTAAACTGTGACATCCTGTTGCAAAATCGTTACGTGTAGGGATGCAAGTGGTTTGCTGGTTTTGTAACTAAAGGTGTAGCTTCATTCCCTGTACAGAGCAGCAACCTTATGTAGTACTGATGTGACACACCATGATTTAACAAACATTTAATGCTTGATTGTATCATGTGTCTGCAAGAAGAAACCATGAGACTAAGAATATCATACATTATTTTATTTTACATGAAGAGATTAAAATATTATGGCTATACATTTACATTTTTAACCTGCAGAATTAAAGTTTATAACTATTGTGTAAACGTTACATCGACAGTAGCAATAAATAAGCATTCTGACAGGATTCAGCCAACAGTAGTTGATGAAGTATTCCCTTGGGGGAAGTTACAAAACATCCTCTGCTTGCTTTCACAAATCTTGCCGTTGGTACTTCGATCTTTTATGTACAGTCTGTGATATTGGCTTTTGATTTCACTGAGTCTAAAAATGGTGACATTTGTTTGTTTCCCTTGTATATATGCGTGGATATTTATAGTTGTTAATTTCAGTCTTCTGTGTTCTCTGATTCCAGTTGTCAGGGTATGGTGGACATCTGGTGTTTACTGGTGTCTGGTAGGAGGATGTTGCCAGTAGGTCTTCTGGAGTTGAAGGTTTGGCCCAGGGAATCAAGACTTCTCCCGGTATGTATTGCAGATGTTGAATTTGATTGGGATCCAGGGAGCTTAGCAGCTGGTGACAGTGTCTTTACTGGTTTGGCATGTTCCTTGAGTACATTTCGTGGTATTGCAATGCATATTGTCCAGCTAGGTAAAACCAATGTCAGTGAGTCCCTATACCAAGATGTGGGTAGTGGATCTCAAAATGAGATTTACATAAATGATTAACATGAAGCAGGACTGATTCACTTGTTACTAATGTGTTGCTTATTGGTGTCTATAAATAACATCCAGCAGTGCATCTGAAGTTCATTCAGCTACATATTTAACTTTTGCTCTGTTCATATATGATGGACTTTGACATGCTTTATTCTCTTTTTTGTCAATACGGTCTTCTGTTTCTCTGTCCACTTCACCCTCTCCTTTTCCCATCACTCTTAGTGGCAACTGTAGCATAGCATGCTGCTGGGTAGGGGTGTTTACTGCTTGGCAGCAGTGAGCTCCTCCTTTATCTTTAGTCAGAAAGTAAAGAAGGGCATTGAGCCATGCATTGAACGATGCTAAAGGTCTGGTAATCTTATAGCACATGGAGACTGCCGTCATGGTGTGACAGGGAACTCCCTTGGTCACTTTCAGCAAAAGAAAGATGGTTCTGGTAACATGAAAGGGGAAGAAACACAGAGCAAATAGCAGGGTGATAGTGATAATAGTTTTGATAGATTTACGCCTTCGACTGGCATATGGGGAGTGCGCACCAAGTGAAATGGAAATCCCTTCATCTCGTCCCGCCATCTTCTGCAATCCATTGCTTCGTCTTCTTCCCGTTCTAACAACTGCTGAGGCTTTCCCATCTCTTCTCTCCATGCATTCATCCATTGGATTTCTGCACAGTGAGGGCTGAGAATGCAGTGTCCTAAATATGGTCAGAACTACATGAGAGTAACAGTAAGCGATTATGGAAAATGGCACAAAAAAGCCCAGCAAATGGAGTGTGATGCCATAGGGTACATAATCAGGAAACTCCTTATCGATGGCATCATCCCAGCAGTTCTGGTACTCTTCAATTACCCCTTCCAATTTACCATAGCCCGCATTACCATTTTCTGATGATATGCTATTACTCGGGTTGTCAGTACTTACATTGCTTCCAAACCCTGTTAATCTTGTCACATGACCAGTCTGAGCAAAACGGAAGATGGGGCAAGTCAAGGCAAATACTATTATCCAAACAAGGACACAAGTGCACTTGACGGCCTTCTTGGTCTCCAGCGTTATCACTTTCATTGGATGGCAAATACCAAGGTATCTGTGCACAGAGATACAAGTGAGGAAGAAGATGGAGCAATAGAGGTTAAAGTAGAAGAGAAAACGAACCACACGGCACATGAAGTCCCCAAAAACCCAGCGGTCACGCATTATGTAACTTCCTACAAGAAATGGCAGCGACAGGCCGTACATAAAGTCTGTAGAGGCCAGGTTAACCATGTATATTAAAGAAGCATTCCAGCGTTTGGTCCGACGGAAAGAACGGTAGAGGATGACAGAGTTAAGAGAGATGCTAAAGATGAATGTGAAGGAATAACAAATGGGAAGGAAGATGTACTTGTACGACTCGTCTATGCTGCAAGACTGAGTTGGTGAGGATGGGGAGGAAGAGTTGAGGATATCGTGGAACGTATCCACATTGATATCTGAAGGAACCTCATGTCTTGATGACATCGTGAGAGCAAAAGTTATTTTGATATGAGAGAGAAGGATTCAGCATGTATGTTTGGACTTCTGGCAGGTTTCTCCTCTATCATCCTTGGTCCTGTCCATGTATGAGTGTTTACCTAGAAATAAACAAAGACAGCAGTCATTTATCAGAATTTTATTTCATCAGATTTTCTCTTATCTTAGTATTGAAAGTTTTGATCAAGTAGTGTTCCTGGTTCTGTGTATGTTCTGTGGGCATCTGCTATGATTTCAAAGGTACATTAAAACTTTTTCACAGTATTTTATGGAGTTCTGTTAAAAAACAAAGGACATTCCATTATTCAGTAGCTTGTAAACCATGCCTTGCCTTTCTTCAGATGGTTTCACACAGTCTTCTTAACATTTGTGCTTCAGTTCATTGAGATTCATGGACAGCTTCTTGTCATACTTACATGTTTCAGATCATTAAATTTTAATATTACTGTATTTTCTGCACTATAAGGCGCACTTAAAATCCTTTAATTTTCTCAAAAATCAACAGTGCCTCTTATAATCCGGTGTGCCTTAAGTATGAATTCTGGTTGTGCTTACTGACCTCGAACTGATTTTTATTTGGTAGGCTCAAAAATCTGTCAAAAAATGTTTTAGTATGACTTTGGTAAGCTACAAAGCCGCACCGCTTGATGGATTGTCGTAGCATTACAGCTACCGCAGTCAGGAGCCTTGCGGAGCAAAACTCCGTAGGTTCAGGTCCCAAAGTCAAACGAACACTGCAGCATCACTGAGAGTTAAAAACTGTCTAAATTCTTTCATCTTTAATAAAATGATCAGTGTTGCTGCTTTACCAGGTGTAACTATGAAGTTTAACATCCAGGAATCCATGAAAACAGAATTTATTACATGTAACAGAGTTAGAAGCTAGTAGGAAGTTAGCTCGCTAGTTTCCACCTAAACATGATATAGCATGTTCTGACTGAGAGATTTCTGAGAAAATTCAAACGTACAGCTCTGCTATCACTTCCAACATAAATGAAGACAGAAAACTAAACAGCAGTGACGTTTGTAGGGTCACTGAAGTTGGGCTAGCTGGTATATAATGATGTGCTACGTGATCGCTAGCGACACAGCTATGTTAGCATAGCTGGAGGATGAACGCCAACTTTTTTCCACTCAATAAAAGTTAACGTGAGGGTTCCCGATGGTTAGGGACAAATGCAATCGCATGGCAGGATGCTGTAAACGGACCAAACTTCAGTCAGGACAACAACTGAGATAATCCATCCACAATAAGCGGTTTGTCATTAATGTACTGCAACAACATGGGAATAGAGCAGCTGCCAGAGAATTCAGCATTAATGAATCAATGATACGGAAGCAAGAAGAATGAGTTGAGTAAAGTCTGACTGTTTTGTTTCGCTTAGTCCACCTTATAATCCTGTGCACCTTATGGTCTGAAAAATATAGTAAATGCAACCTGTCTGACGAAATTTGGACCGGTACCTGTGACACCGTAAAGGCAGGTCCATGAAAATATTGTCTGACATTAAACTGGTCTGTGGTGCAAAAAAGGTTGGGGACCGCTGTCTTACAAGGTAATCAGCAACACCAGAGCACCACAAGAGACCACTCTCTCCCCTTTCCTGTTCACCCACACCGTAGACTCCGTCCACTGCAGGGATCTGCCACCTTCCAAGGCTTTTTCTCTGCGGTGGTTGGATGTATTGCTAGGGGTAATGCGATGGAGTACCAGGTTGTGGTGGACTCCTTTGTCGTGTGGTGCAAGAAGAATCATCCGTAGATCAATGTGACAAAGACCAAGGAAACAATTGCAGACTTTAAGAGGACCAGGAAAACAATGACCACTGTGTCAATTCAGGGAGTCAATGTGGACATAGAATATGAAGCTAGAGACACTAGCAACTACAGTCAATTGTTACTAATCAATGTTACTGTCAATTGTCTTTCAGGGGCCAGAGTTAGCGACATTAAGGGGAATTTAAAACTGCTGGCTTAGGGCAAACATAGAATTAATAATAAACTGGTGTTTAACTTTGCCAAAACACTGTCGTTTTTGCTGGTTTGCTTGCCAATTGGACCAGGAGTGACATGTTTAGCTGCATGTTCTCCTTAAATTTCTGGCTGTCAGAGTGGTGTCCAAAAAATGATGTGGGCTTCAAGATTCAATCCTCCTGTTATTCCCCCAGAACCACATTCCCTTAGAGACTGTCTCAGCTCCCAGACAAAAAACAAACCAAAAATCACAAAAAAACTAATTTAACACAAAAAAACTACAAAGAAAGAACAATATAGCACCCACATCTCCACAAAGAGTAAAGCAGTGAAATTAACTGAACATTAATTCATAATTGATCAACTACTCTGCCTGACAGAAACCTGGTAACAGCAGGATGTCAGTTTAAATGAATGAACACCCCCGAGTTATACTAACTGTCAGAATCCATGAAGGGGGTGCACCAATCTTTCACACCAGCTTATTAATCAACCAAAGACAGAGTTTTGAATCTTTTGAAAGCCTGATGCTTAGCCTCGTCCACTCTAACTGGAAAACTCAAAAACCAGTTTTATTTCTTGTTATCACTGGTTAGCACAGATTAGAGAGAAAAATGATACAAATCCACACAATTTTTAATCTATAACATAGATTTGTTTTTTTCTGCTAATTAAACTTTTAGTAACTTTCGTCCTCTAAGGATGGAGACACTGTGTTTGTAAAAGGATCTGCTCCCATCAGAAACAGAAACGTTTTCTCATACGCTGTTTGCTCAGAACAACTTTGCATCAGCTTACAATAAAACCATGCCTGCAATCTAAATCTGCCACCTATCTATAGCTAAAAGCATAAAAGTCCTTTAAAAAATGTTCTCTTATCTTATCTTATTATTATATTGAGGGCAATATAATAAAGAGCTACTGCTTTCCAACCCCACCCCTCCCATTAACTGTTCACTGGGGCCTTTGCACAATCTGTTTGTCCCCCTGTTGTATGCTGCTCATTCGCAGTGCTTGTTTGCCTTCCTGTGTACAAGGGTATGTTGCTGATTCAGATCCTTCTCACTCCATTAACTCAGCAATAAGTAACCACACTTTCCCTACGTGTCTTTATGCATCCCTCTGTACATTGGTCTCTCTCACTCCACTGATTACATATTACCCATTCCTGTCATCACAATCCCTGAGTAATTTCATGTCATGCAGTCAGCAACAGCATCAGCAAAGTCAACAGTTTCTAACTAAACAGGGTTCACTCAGGCAACATTGTAGTTTCTTCACTGAAAGAGTCACATCAGGTGTACCTCTGCATATTAGTTTGTTATAGAGTTCCAGGAAACTAAAGGAATATGTTCGTTTCGAGTTAAAATGACCATCTGCATCTAAACTAATGTTCAGTAAGAAAACGTTTTTGTATCAAACACCGAAAAGGGGAATAAATATATCTTGAAAGTGTGACGATATGTTCAATATTTGAAGCATTAGTTTCAAGGCCATAAATGTGTCGTGGTGTTTCTGGTGGCGCCTTACTTTTAATGTGTCTCAGATCTGTAGCTTTCTCAGATATATGACATTTTCAAAAATATAAAAGTGCACAAAGCCAGCCTAACACAAGAAAATGTGTATCCACTGACAAATGAAAAACATTTTCATGAGTCTTTCACAATTATACAATACAAAGATATGTGCCAGAAATACATGTTTCCTGCAAATCACAAAGATTGTATATTGCAGCTATTCCTTTTGCAAAGCATGTTGCAACACCCCATAAACTTTTGGTGCTTCTTTATTTACTTTTCTGTTAGCTCCCTTACGTTTTTCAGAACTATTAAGAACAGTTTGCAGACACCTGAACTGTTCTGTCTAATCATAATAGCATGATGGAACACGATATGCTAACACATTTTCATGCTGTATGGGTGTTGATTGAATCCAATCTTTACATTAAGTATCAGGAAAAAATTAGATATAAAAAGTAGCTTCTGGAAAAGCCTAAAACTCTCAAACTGTTTGCCTCTGAACTCATATTGAGTGTAGTTCCAGAGTGAGGCATGCAGTTACATAAGGCTAAGTAAGAAAATGTGTTTTTGGATGGATGTTTAAGAAGATATTACTGCTTTGGAAAATGTTCTGGAACAAAAATAACAATTTTCCCGTGTCTGGAGGTTCATTACTTGTTGTGTAAATGCAACAGCATCGAACTCATAAATACCTGCATCACTACAATCTGCTGTAAGACAAAGAGCTTACCCCTGCCAGCGATGATTCTTACTCCATATGGCTTCTATTCTGTTGCCCATCAGAATAGCTGAGAAACTGCAGAAACATCCAAAAGGCTATGACTGCAGTGCAGCTGTGATTGACACCACGACTGCAACCTTTCCCTGTATTTCAACAACAAGTGAACATTAGCTGCAATCAGTCATCAGCAGAGCGGCTTGGTTGATCTGTGACCCTGACGATTGGACCAATACAGCTTTCACCTTTTTGCCTGCTTCTCTGAGCAGTCAGAGCAGTTTCTATGGTAATCCAGTCCCTCCCTCTGTCCCTCATTGTGTGTCATCCAATTCTTCTCCCCACTTCACCTCTGTGTGTGTGTGTGTGTGTGTGTGCGTGTGTGTGTGTGTGTGTGTGTGTGCGTGTGTGTGTGTGTGTGTGTGTGTGTGTGTGTTCCTCACTACTTTTTAAACAACTACCCTGAAAACAAATCAAGTTACGACACGTCATTTAAGTTTAAAGCTTTTTATGAATAACCTCTGTACACTTAAAGATTCCTGGGTTTGATTTCCAAACTCCCTTTTGTTTTACAGAAAACTCACCAATCATCTTAAGTTCATGAGTTGTCTTTTTATAAAGACAACTCATGAACGCTCTACGCTCAACCCCAAAACAAAAATTCCTCATTGAAAGAAAGGCAACAGTAACTCAAATAACAAAGTTCTACAGTGTAAAGGTTTACACATTCTCCTGACAGGAATCCCTATTTGATCCCTGGAAAAGAGGCAAATCCCTTT